GTCTGAGACATGTTTGACGCCTGTCCCCCAACTCTTCCAGCTATTTCCTGCAGGAGCTGCAGCTGTGTTTGAAAGATCCTGATTGGTTGGCTCAGCTGTTCATCAAACATGTGAGGCTGGGACCTGGCAGGGGAAGGGCTTGGGATGGGTCTGGGCTCAGTGGATAGGTGCTCCCTTTTGTCATCATCATCTCCTCTACTGTCTTCAACATTATCCCTGTTAGGAGCGCCGGCTGCACATGTATGTGGTCTACTGTCAGAATAAGCCCAAGTCAGAGCATGTGGTATCAGAATTTGGAGACAGCTACTTTGAGGTCAGTGGTTGAGGTGCCTTGAGGGGGCCTAGAATCGGCATGAACAGGCTTTTCAGGCTCCTTAACTGCCCTGTCCTCGTACCCAGGAGCTCAGGCAGCAGCTGGGGCACCGTCTGCAGCTCAATGACCTCCTCATTAAACCTGTGCAGAGAATTATGAAATACCAGCTGTTGCTCAAGGTCAGGACCACCCTAGTCCCCCTGGGATACAGCTGACCACCCTTCTCCCTGGGGACGCAGCTGCCTGGGACAGGCATTTCCTCAGTCATCTTCAGGGTTCTGAAAGCTCTACAGGGGTCCTCCCCCTGTCCTGGGGTTGCTTACTAGCATGTCTGAGCATGTGATCACAGCCTCCCCACACATCTCCTCTGTGTGTCCCAGGATTTCCTCAAGTATTACAGCAGAGCTGGGATGGATACTGAGGAGCTGGAGGTGAGGTTCCTGGACAGAGTGTCCGCCTTAGCCTCTGGGTACCTCAGTCTCTGGGTGGTTCAGGGATGCCTGAGTTTTAGGAAGAGGCCCCTGGGGTGGTGGTGTGTGGAGAGGCAGCTGTCTGGCTCTCTCAAAGGGGAGGCCTCTGTGCCAGTTATGACTCAGTTTGTCCAACAATGCCCGTCTTTCCCCATATCCCAGCAAGCTGTGGAGGTCATGTGCTTCGTACCAAAGCGTTGTGATGATATGATGTCCCTGGGGAGACTTCGGGGATTTGAGGTATGGTACAGGACAGGGCAAGAAGCTGAAGCAGGGGAGTGTTCTGGGGCTCAGTCAGGTTTAGCACTCTGGGTCCTTATAAGGAATTACCTTCTTCTGAGCTACTCCACCAGGGTTACTTGGGAGGAGGGTGGGGTGGGGAGAGGGAGGGGAGAAGCTGATGCTTTCTCAGAGCCACGCCCTTTGCTTTCAGGGAAAGTTGACTTCTCAGGGGAAGCTCTTGGGCCAGGACACATTCTTGGTGACAGAGCCTGAGGCTGGAGGTCTGCTGTCTTCCCGGGGTCGAGAGAGGCGCGTCTTTCTGTTTGAGCAAATAGTCATCTTCAGTGAGGCATTGGGAGGAGGGGGTCGAGGTGGTACGCAGCCCGCCTATGTGTACAAGAGCAGCATCAAGGTGAGGGGCCCATGGGCAGGGAGCAGACTGGGACGGGGTGCGGCCTTGTGATGTCTGACTCTTGGGGTTGGTGGCGGGGCCTGCAGAACCTGAGGACTGCTTCTGTTTGCAAATCCAGGTGAGCTGCCTAGGACTGGAGGGAAACCTCCAAGGCAACCCTTGCCGTTTCGCACTGACCTCTAGGGGGCCAGAAGGTGGGATCCAGCGCTATGTTCTGCAGGCCTCAGACCCTGCAATCAGTCAGGCCTGGATCAAGCAAGTGGCCCAGATCCTGGAAAGCCAGCGGGACTTTCTCAATGGTGAGGCTCCCATCATCCCTCAGCATGCAGTAGGCTCCCCAAACCACCTGACCTCCTGAACCCTTCCCCCACCAACCCCCAGCCCTTGGTGGGTCTCCATCCTCCCAGAATCCTCTAAAAGTTCCAATCACTTTACATTGGCTAACCTAGGAAGAGTGGGCAAATGAGAGGAAGCAGGGAGCTTAATCTGTCTCTCCTATAATACATTCCGTGTCTTGTTTGCAGCTTTGCAATCACCCATTGAGTACCAGAGACGGGAGAGCCAGACCAACAGTCTGGGGCGGTCAGGAGGGCCTGGGGTAGGGAGCCCGGGGAGGCTGCGGCCTGGAGACCTGACCCAGGTCAGCATGCACACACCCATCAATGGCTCCCTCCCCTCCCTGCTGCTTTTGCCCAAAGGGGAGGTGCCCAGAGCGCCCTTGCCCCTGGATATACAGGTATGAGGAATAGTTTCCTACTGGGGCAGAAAGGGGAGGGCATTTGTCACCACCTCCTCCTCCCCACCATTCTCCTTTCTTCCGCCACCTTCCTTTCTCCATTACCGTCTGCAGTTTAATTCCAGGGCCAGAGGAGGGTGGCCTGGCGGGGCTTTACCTGGAAAGTGGGGGTGACTGGTGGCCTCTGCTCACCCTCTGGAGTGAATCTTCCTGCAGGCTCCTCACGACCCTCCAGCCCTTCCCGCTCTGAGCACCCCTCCCTGTCAGGCCAGGCTGGCCAAGCTAGATGAAGATGAGCTGTGACTGGAGAAGGCCTCGGGAATGGTGCTGATTCAGCCACTGAGTCCTCAAGGAATCTGAGGACAGTCCTGGCAATGTGCCAGAGTCCTCCCTTCCTGGCCTGTGCATGCCTGCAAGGATGGGCAAGCCTGGGAGAGAGATCGGCGTGGAGGGGAGTGCCCCCACCTGAAAGGACACTCTTCCCTGCCCCAGGATCTCGGCAGCTCCACTCTGCACATGCGCATGGGTCCCCCTCAGACGGAGGGTACATAGGGGCTTGAAGGGAGGGCTAGGGCAGGGATCAGATAGAAACGACTGGTTTTATTGTGATTTTGTTTTCCAGTTTCCTGTGAATAAACGTTTTGTTATATCACTAGGCTGCTGTCTTGGTGGTAGGGAGGTGAGGCTGCCGTGGAAATGGATTGGTGAAGTAGCATAAACCCAGAAGAGATCTGGCCCTGTGAGCAGGGGCCTGATGATAAAATGAGGATAGAACCTGGCGGTGCCGGTGGCAATGGTCGTGTCGGATCTCTGTGAGTTCAAGGCCAGCCTGGTCTACATAGTGAGACCCTGTCCAGCCTGGTCTACATAGTGAGACCCTGTCCAGCCTGGTCAACATAGTGAGACCCTGTCCAGCCTGGTCTACATAGTGAGAACCTGTCCAGCCTGGTCTACATAGTGAGACCCTGTCCAGCCTGATCTACATAGTGAGAACCTGTCCAGGCTGGTCAACATAGTGAGACCCTGTCCAGCCTGGTCTACATAGTGAGACCCTGTCCAGCCTGGTCTACATAGTGAGACCCTGTCCAGCCTGGTCAACATAGTGAGAACCTGTCCAGCCTGGTCTACATAGTGAGAACCTGTCCAGCCTGGTCTACATAGTGAGGCCCTGTCCAGCCTGATCTACATAGTGAGAACCTGTCCAGCCTGATCTACATAGTGAGAACTGGTCTCAAACAAATGAACAACAAAACAAGAGCAGAGCAGAAATCAAAGGTGCCTCTGTCATTGTCACCACTGCCATCATGCCATCTCTCAGTCTACACCTGGGGCTTAGGGGAAACTCTAGAGTTGTCCTAATATATTCTCCCCTTAATTCAGTCCTCTGGGTTCTAGATTTGTTGTTTGGTTCAAACTCCACCAGACTGCACTGTGACTTCCTACTATCCCCCCCCCCCCCCAACATCTCGAGACTAATGAATAAAACATGCAGGGTACCTTTGCTCTGAGGCTTCCACGTTGTGCTGAAGCGTGGGAAGGTGGAGTGGATCCATCGTCTCTGTTGCCCTCTTCATGAGGGGGGGCGGTCTGTCCACCCTGGATAGGAATGGTTTCTTTATAAGCCTGGAGCACTGAAGAGGTCTTCACCCCTCCCAACTCCTGAAGCGGCCCCTGGGACAGGGACAGCCAAGCATACAGGGACCCAGATGTGTGTGTCCACCGTCCCCTGGGGCTCGGTCACATGTGCTGGGGCTTCCTCAGCAGACAATAGACCGCTGAGGTGGGGGGGGTGTGGGGATGCTGGAACCTCCTCATGGGTCCCAGGTCCCTTTAGCTGACAATGAGAGGAGGGATCTACAAGGGGAGGGGGCAGGATGCGAGGCCCAGATAAGATTTCTGGGGAACAATAGGAGGAATTGAAGAGGAGAGGCCCACCCTCTCTAGACCCCACCCTGGGCTTTGGGGTCAGGGACTGGGGGAACCAGAGAGTGGTGGCGGGGTTGCTAAAGTGTCTGACTGGACGAGGGGATGGCAGCAACCTGGGACTTAAAATCTCTGTGTCTCTTCAGAGACCACTGGGGTGCATGAGGTGGGTGGGTGACCCTTTCGTGCCCCTGGGACAGCCAGACCCACCAGTGCCAGCTGTAACGGGGCAGCCAAAGCAACTGGGGTGACTGCCATCAGCAAGCGCCGCACCCTTAGTTTAACCAGGTACTGTAGAATGCCTGCTTTGAGAAGAAAAGCTGGATGTAAGGAACAGTGTTTTTCAGGGCTTTGCGGCTCCTAAGAAATAAAATAAAAATTTCATGTTAGTTCACCATTCCCCCTAACCCAGACCTCGCCACCCCTAACAAAGAGGTGGGGGTAGTTCTCTGTCCTCGCCCTTGCTCGCAGTGTATTAGCTTATAAGACTGTCTTCTTGTTATAAAACACTTTCCTTGGGGCAAGCTTGCCACATGAGGAATGGGATTTGGATGGGTAATCCCAGCTGGCGTGGTGGGGCATACTGGGGCTCAGGGAAGGATCATTGACCCAAAGAAACCAGGTATCTGCAAATGAATAAAGGGTTCCTGATGCGGAGGTGAGGACTGTTGGAAGGGGCTGTGGGTCTCACATCTCTGACCGTTCCTCATGGCCGGCCCCCAGGCTACCAGGCGGTCAGATCCGGCTAAGGATGCCTGAGGAGGCGCCTAACACAGGGACTTTTTCCACTCGAGCCTGACCCAAGGACGCACCCTAGAGTACTCCCTACAGGTCCGGATTGGACCCTGCTTTGTGGAGGCGGGCTCAGGACCAGCGGGGAGGGGGGCGGAGAAGGAGAGAGAGGGGGTATTTAAGACCCGGAGATATTGCGGGGGGTCAAGGACAAAATGAGTGGCCCACTCGTGTCTGAGACCTGCCCAGATCCGGAAGAGGTTTCTGACCTTAAGTCTCCACTGAGCTCTAGGTTCAGGGAACCTCTCACCCACGCTCGGTTCCAGGAGCTCTTCGGGGGCGAAAAGGAGCCGGAGCTACCAGCCGAGCCCTGCTCACCCTGGCTGTGCCGGCTGTGGAGAAGGCGAGCCTGCTCCTGTTCTGGGCCGGGGGCGTGGCGCGTGCTGCAGGCACGGCTGCCCCCGCTGCGCTGGCTGCCCCATTACCGCTGGCGAGCCTGGCTGCTCGGAGATGCTGTGGCAGGAGTGACCGTGGGCATTGTGCACGTGCCCCAGGGTGAGGCCCCAGCTACAGCCTGTTAGGTGTTCTAAGCTATTGGGTGGAGTGGGGAGGCTTCTGGAGGAGCTGAGAATTGAGCAGTGAAATGGTGGGTCCCTGCGTGGTCGGAGGGGGGAGATTTGAAGCTCGGTTTGGGAGGACCATGGGACCCCACCATCTTCCCCACCCCCAACCCTCCTCCACTGTGCAACCCCGTGAGACATCTTGGACTCTGTTCCGCCTCAGAGAACTGGAGAGAGGCACAGAATCTGCCACCCACGACGTGGGCAGGGATCTGTGACTTTGTCAGCCTCACGACCTCCCACCGAGGCCCATTAACCTCTCAGTTCCCTCAGGTGTCAGGATTTAAAGTCTCTGATGCCAGCCCACCAGTGTGGGAAAGGCAGAACCTGGAGTTTATGGATCCGCCCCCTTCTCCTTCCCCTTAGGCATGGCTTTTGCCCTCCTGACCTCGGTGCCCCCGGTGTTCGGACTCTACACTTCTTTCTTTCCCGTCCTCATCTACAGTTTGCTGGGCACTGGGAGACACCTGTCCACTGGTGAGTGGCCGTACTCCCCATACCTTCTCTTTAGGATGAAAATAGTCAGGGGTTTGAGGCTTCCTTATCTTTGGGAGCGGGAGGACAGGGTCTCACTGTATAGTCTACACACCCTGGCAGAGGCTGCTGTTCGAAAGCTTTGGGGCTCCATTCCTCTCTGCCGCCCTCCCTCGCCTGCTTGCCACCTCTCTTAGGGCATCCCCAACCTATCGCCACCTTTTTGCACAGAATTCTATGACCCACCCCGAGGCTTGCTGGAGTGAGTTTACACGGATCTCTTTGTTCCCTGTGAAATTTGGTTGAAACGAGTAATTCCTGGCCTTGAAGGGAAAGAAGCACAGAGTCCTCTGAAAGCCTGCGGAGGGGACACTTTCTGCCTGTGGAGACAATCTTTTCCTCCTTGGCCACCGGTTCCGGGCTACAGCACCGGGCCATGGCCCAAAGGTCTTCACTTAGGCAGCTACCTTCTAAGAGAGTGGATCAGACAGCAGCACCCAAGGCTCTAGATCTGCTCTAGTCTGGGCTGCTCTGCTCCAGGCTGCACAAGTGCTAACCTCTGCGTTTGGCTCATGGCTACAGGAACTTTCGCAGTACTCAGCCTCATGACGGGCTCTGTTGTTGAGCGCCTGGTGCCCGAACCCCTTGCGGGGAACCTCAGTGGAATTGAGAAGGAGCAATTGGAAGCCCGGAGAGTTGGGGCGGCAGCGGCTGTGGCCTTCGGGAGTGGGGCGCTGATGGTAAGGGAGGACCCAGTAAGGACCCTAGGGGATGGATCCACCGGAGGGGGCCAGAACGATTGGGCCTGAGGTTGGCAGAAGGGCTGGAGCACGCCTCGGGTTCAGGTCTGTTGGCGATCGCACACCACCTTCGCCTCTCCGCCTTCTCTACAGCTGGCGATGTTTGCGCTGCAGCTTGGTGTCCTGTCCACCTTTTTATCCGAGCCTGTGGTCAAGGCGCTGACCAGCGGGGCCGCGGTGCACGTGCTGGTGTCCCAGCTGCCAAGCCTTTTGGGACTGTCTCTCCCACGTCAGATCGGCTGTTTTTCTCTCTTCAAGGTGAGAGTGGAAAAAGAGGTTTCTAGAAGTCACGTGGGGGGGGAGAGGAGGGGACGACAAATAGGAAGGGGAGGGGCTGAGGGTGGAGAAATAGCACTCAGCAGGCAAGGAATATATGCAGTCATGGTGCTGCGTGAGGGCGCTAGGGAGGCGAGAGCTTTCCTCGGGTCTAGTGGGTTGGTGCTGAGTCTGGCGTGGTCAGTTACCACCCGGCCCCTGCCTGCCTGCAGACGCTAGCCGCGGTGCTCATGGCACTGGCCGGGAGCAGTCCTGCAGAACTGGCCATCTCAGCGCTCAGCCTGGCGTTGCTAGTGCCGGTCAAGGAACTGAACGTGAGATTCCGGGACAGGCTACCCACTCCGATTCCAGGAGAAGTTGTCATGGTGAGGGCCACCGTAGGTCTCTGCCCCCTGCTGTGTCCCCATCTTACCCATCCGGTAGGATCTAGAGGCTGTCGCCCCCTTGTGGGATGCACAGAAGTCCCAAGCGAGAAGTCCTGTTGACACTTGTAGTTTTCCGAGCATTTTCCAGAGCATTGGCCCACCAGAACTGCCCACCTGTACAGTTCCACTTCCCGGGTCGAGCTGCCCCCAGGCCCCCTTTGCATTGCATCCTTTCTTCCCTCCACGGGTCTCTCACTGTAACTCGCTGTATCTTTCTTTCATTATGCACCTAGATAACTCTTCCTGTGTAAATAAATGTCAGTGCTTTCCATGGGTAACTCAGATATGCTCAGAATGGCTCAGGTGCCCCAAGTGAGTCTTCTGTGTCCATCACTCCCAAAGGACCTCATCTTAGGTCCTCTGTCTCTCCATCTCTCAGACAAGTGCTATGAGCCTTCCTTCACCGTAGGTAAGATGTAGCTGTTAGACATCCGTTCCAAACGTTCTGTGGCCTCACCAGCTGAAACCACCCAGAACCACACTGGGATTCTCTTTCAGTCTCGTCTAGACTCGGCCAACGGCCCTAGGCCCTAGTGTGTTCTTTTCCTTAGGTGTTTCTGGCCTCTGTGCTCTGCTTCGCCTCTTCCCTGAACACAAGATACAATGTCCAGGTAGTGGGACTATTGCCTGGAGGGTAAGAGAGAGAAAAGACACTTCTCCCTCCCTCCCCTCCCACAGATACCCTCCCGAGTCCTACCCTCCTATTTGCTGTTTCCCTGTAGCACGCAACCCATCTTTACCACGGATCCTTCCCTCTCTAGATTTCCCCAGCCCCTCTTCCCCAGGCTGGACGAGCTGCCCAGGATCCTGGCTGACTCACTGCCCATCGCACTGGTTACGTTTGCCGTGTCCGCCTCCCTGGCCTCCATCTATGCAGACAAGCACAGCTACACTATCGACCCCAACCAGGTGTGACTCTGATTGTGGGGCCAGCCTTCTCCACAAATGACCTCGTAGCCTTACTCTTCCATGCCTGTCTTTCCCTCCTCACCCCATTGCATCCTCCTAGGAACTCTTGGCCCATGGTGTCTCCAACCTCGTCTCTTCTCTCTTCTCTTGCTTTCCCAACTCGGCCACGCTGGCTACAACCAGCTTATTGGTGGATGCTGGTGGGAACACACAGGTAAGAGAGAGTCCTTGGGTGAGGAGAAAAGATGGGGTATTCAGGCAGGGGGGCCCACAGAGTGGGGGGACAGGCGGATACATCTGTATTAGAAGATGGGAGTGAGGAAGGGATTGTAAGGAGGAGGGTCAGACAATGCCGAAGCTCGAGAAGACCTCTGTGGGCTGTAAGCACTGATGAAAGCTGTGGTGCCTCAGATTAGTTAAAAATATAAACAACTGCCCTACAGTGGTGGCCGTGGTGGCGCACACCTTTAATCCCAGCAGTTGGGAGGCAGAAGCAGGCAAATCTCTGTGAGTTCTAGGCCAACTTGGTCCAGAACTGTTACACAAAGGTAACCCTGTCTCAAGAAGCCCAACATATGGATTGGAGAGATGACTCAGAGGTTAAGAGCATTGACTGCTCTTCCAGAAGTCCTGAGTTCAATTCTCAGCAACCACATGGTGGCTCACAACCATCTGGTGCCCTCTGCTGGCCTGCAGGCATACATGCAGGCAGAATGCTGTATACATTTTAAATAAATCTTTTTTTAAAAGTATCTAAAATAGCTGAATGTTGTATTACATACCCAGAAGACTGACGGAGGCAGGAGGACCTGGGGCTCCAGGCTGTCTGGGGTACAAGGAGACTGTTTCAAAGCAACACTTGCTGCACAAGTATGAGGACACAGGTTCACACTCCCAGCTCCATGGGCGTGGAGACCTGTCTTCAGAGATGGGGGTGGGGTCCCCTGGAGCAGCCCTGGGTCAGTGATCTCTGGGTCCAACTGAGAGACCCTGCTTCAGTGTGACAAAGATTCCCAGTGTCAGATTCTACAAGAACCAGGACACAGGTGTGTGGTCCCTACACACACACACACCCCAATAAATGTAGGAGATAAAATTCTGACCTTTTCCTTAGGGACCTCTAAAAGAAGAAAAGGAAAGAAACATTACATGTCACTCTTCCCCAGTCTCTTTTCCTTACTTTGTTGGTGCCCTAAGCTGATGGCTGGCCCACTTGTGAAGTCACCAGCTAACGGGACCTTTTAAGGTGCAGAGGTGGCCTACAATAGTGAGGGTGAACTGCAAACATCTGGGGGAGGTGGGGGAACAGGTACAGTGCTGGGGGAGGTTCGAAGTATGACTGCAGAACCTCAGGAGGGGGTGAGCAGGGGAGAAGGAGGCGGGCGGGAGACCTCTGAAGGAGATGAGACAGCCTGGACAGGGAGACCAGCGGGGCAGGGACACAGGTGCGGGCAGAGCAGGTTCTCCCTCCTCTTCCCTGTCTTTCCCTGCAGCTGGCCGGCCTCTTCTCCTGCATCGTGGTCCTGTCGGTTCTGCTGTGGCTGGGGCCCTTCTTCTACTATCTGCCCAAGGTGGGGAGGAGACGAGGCCCTGTGTGCCTGAGTAGATCTGGCTGAATCCAGAGCCTTTGGACAAAGGCCTATTCTTCTCTGTCTCAAGGCTGTCCTGGCTTGCATCAATATCTCCAGCATGCGCCAGATGTTCTTCCAGATGCAGGAACTGCCGCAGCTATGGCACATCAGCCGTGTGGACTTTGTGAGAAATGGCATTACCCCCAGGGTGCCTCTTCCCAGCATCCCTTGCTTCTGCCCTGGCCCGGAGCTGATCACTCTGGTCCTAAATCCTCTAACCCATACACCCTCCAACACACAGACCTCATGCATATGTCAGAGCAAAGGAAGAGGTTGGGATTTGAGCTCATCGGACCCGAGTGTGTGTGTGAGGGCATTTTTGGTGGTTGTGAAGATTGAATCCATGAATATTAGCAGAGTTCCCTATCATTGAACTCACACAGGGTCTGAAGTTATTGTATTTGGTGTGTATACTCTTAGTAAGTCCTTCCCTCTGCCATGCTTCCTTTCTCCTCCGCCATCCTTACTCATTTTTGTCCTTGCATCTGTGTTTTCTCACCCACCCATATCCATGTCCTTCAGGCTGTGTGGATGGTCACGTGGGTGGCAGTAGTGACGCTGAGTGTGGACCTGGGCCTGGCTGTGGGTGTGGTCGTCTCTATGATGACAGTGGTCTGCCGAACTCAGAGGTGAGCGGAGAGATGGGTAGAGTTGAAATGAGGGGAGGGAGAGAGATATTCTGGGGGTGACGATAGCCAGGCCAGGTTGGGTTGGGAATCTGACTCCAGCTTTTTCTCTAGGGTGCAGTGCCTGGCACTTGGACTGGCTGAGGGGACCGAGCTCTACAGGCCACTCAGAGAGAGCTGTAAGGTGGGTGGGTAGTATCCCACGCAGGGAGGAACCACAGGGTGATCCTGACTCTCTTACCCTTCAGCTCCTCCAGGTTCCAGGCCTCTGTATTTTGAGCTATCCGTCACCACTCTACTTTGCAACCCGTGGGCAGTTCCGCCACATCTTGGAGTGGCATCTGGGGCTTGGATGCAGGGTGAGGATTTTGGTCAAGGAGTGTGGACCCTGTGGGATTGGGTGGCCGTGTATTCTGAGAGTGCAAGCCAGTGCCTGTGATTTGGTGGTGATGTTGTTTTTCTCTATTTATGGCAGTCTCCAAAGCTGGGTAGTCTACCTGACAAAGGTGAGACGGATGACAAAGAGGGAAATTTGGTGGTGACCACAGAGGCGTCTGGGTACTCTGGCCTTCTTCCATCTTAGGTGCGGGGCCCATCAGAGTGGTGGTCCTAGACTTCAGTGGCATCACCTTTGTGGATGCTGCAGGAGCCAGGGAAGTGGTCCAGGTGAGGCAACGGAGTAGGGAAGCCAAGAAAGAGCTCCTGGCCATCCCACTCATAGCCCTGATTTGGGTTTTAATCCCTCTGTCTGGTTCCTGCAGCTCACCGGGCGATGCCAGGATGCTGGAATCTGTCTCCTCCTAGCTCAGTGTAACGGTACGTGGTGTGAAGAATAGAGGGGTGGGGGGCAGGCGGAGGGGGGGACTGTTCAGACACTAGTTGGCAGGAAGATACTGGATGGATTTGGGGCCCCAGCAGCTGACGCCTTTCCCATACAGCCTTGGTGCTGGAGACTTTAACCCGGGCAGGGCTCCTGGATAGAATGACCCCGGAACAACTCTTTGTGAGTGTCCAGGATGCAGCTGCACATGCGCTGGAGAGACTGGTAAGGACAGGAGCCGGGAGGTGCTGGGCTAGGGTAGGGGGGGACTGGCTGAATATGTAAAGATCTGGAAGACGGATTTGGAGAAGGGACTGAGGAAGACCAAGAGGAAAGCAGGGAGATGTCAAGTGAAGTTGGGGGAGGTGGGCACACCCTCAATCCCCCAGCACACGGGAGGATTTCTATGAGTTTGAGGCCAGCCTGGTCTACATAGGAAGTTCCAGAACATCCAGGGATACATAGAGAGACCTCGTCTCAAGAAAACCAGAACAAACAAGTTAGGGAGTGTGGGACACCCTTCACCAATGTTGAAGAACTGCATAAGGTCTCCAAAGGGCTGGCATGCTCCCAGAGTACTGAGTCCCAGAGACAGATGGGGGTAACCTAATAATCCTGAACTGTCCATTTTCTTTCCCAGAAGACCACTGACCCAAAGATTTGCACAGTGTGGGTCTGACCAAGGTCACTTGGAGTGTGAGAGGCCCTAACCGTATGTGTGTGAGGAAGGCTACGGCCTTTGAGCCCTTCCCCCCAATGCAAGCAATAAAATGAAGCCGAGATTATCTGCAGCCCATGGAGTGGGTCTAGGTGTCTGCATGTGGACCTCTCTAGTCCTCCCCCCCAGCCCCACCATGCCCAAAGTACTGCAGAGACACAAGTAAAAATGACTTTCACCGTGTGTTCACCAGCTTCATGCAACTCCAGTCACAGTGCTCTCTGTGGGGTATGTTGAAGCCGGTACACACGGTGCTGGATCCGGAGCTGGGTTGAGGGTGTGTGTCCCTGGGGTTGCACTTTGGGAGTTTCCCTGCCCCCTCGGGAGGAGAGAGTGTTTCCACATGAGGGTCTTAAGAGTCCTTCTGGGCTCTTTGGCACTTGGAAAGTGAATCCCCCCATTTCCTGCCCCATAGGAATGGGGTTGGGGAGGACTTGGCACTGGTTGTGGGGGGGGTGTTATGGCTCCATCAGGCCTCTGTCACTCACAGAAAGGAAGGGCTGTCACCAGGACAAGCCCCTATTAGGGATCAGGTCGGAGGAAAGAGCCGGTCAGGGGCCAAGGGTTTAGGGGTTGCAGGCGTTGCTGGAAATTTCCTGGCCGGGACAAATAGGCAGGCCTAGCCTGACAGTGTGAAGGTCCAAATCCACCATCACTCAGCGGTCATGCACTGTAGCCGGTGTTTGAAGAACAGCAGGCGATGCTTGGCCACCTGACTTTGGTCCAGCGATCCCGGGTAACGGTAGTGGGCGTAAGTCTCGGCCCTCGCATTCTTTGATGTCCATGGCAGCTTCACCTTCGACGCATGATCCACAACCACATCCGAGCAGGAGCCAACGCGAAGGGAACCAAGGCCATCCAGAAAGAACTCTGGGGGGGAGGGCACACGGTTAAGCTAAGGCCCCCCCGGGGTGGAAAAGGCCAGTTCCTAGGGAGAACTGAGATCTAGGGCTCAGATGGGCAGCTGTGCAAAAACTCTGCTGCTAAGGACACTTTTGCGCCTATCCGTCTAGTTAACTCTTGTGTAAAGTGGAGTTCATTTCAATAAACACCTGATTCACTCCTCTGAGTATGTCTGAACCTGGGGAAGCAGGTGGCTGTAAGGGTGACTTTGGCAGTGGAGTGCCGAACTTTAACTGTCTGAGGTGCAAACGGGACATTGGGCAGAAGAAAGTGGAAGTTTCGTTTTTTCTTTTCTTTTCTTTTTTTTAAAGCTCAGGTGCAGATCTCGGTAACAACCCGCCCACCCCCCCCCCCCCCCCCGCTCTGCCCAACTGCTCTAGCAACTACCGGAGTGGGGGCGGTAGGTGGGTGCTGCGTTCTGCCCCGCCCAGGGCTGCACCGGGTCCTTCCCAGGCCTTGCCGCGAGGGGGCGCCACTCACCTAGATGTGCCACCCGGTTGAAGCGCGGGTCAAAGCCCACCTCGCGTACTTTGTCTGTGCGCGCCAGGAAGAAGTTGACTACGCCGTCGGTGACCACGCAGTTTGGGAACCCAACCAGCTCGTGGTGGAAACCCCGCTTTTGCCGGAGGCAGTCCCCAAGACCCGGGGCACCCGGCTCCACACTCAGCAGCTGCCGGTAGGTGGTCGAGAAGCCCGAGATCTCCCGCACGGCGCCCCCAACCTGCGGGGAGTGAGAGCATGCTTGCGTTAAGACGCCGAAGTCGCCGAGGAGTGGGGAGCGTCCTATCTGCGCCCCCGGCCCCACCCTAGCCCTGCAGGCTTCAGCCCCACAGGACCCAGGGCTACATCCCGCCCCCCAGACTCGTTCCACCCGAGGGCGCACGGCTCTGCCACCCAACACCCCGCGCCCCCTCCCTACCAGGTCCAGGGCCGTCCTCTCCAGCACGTCCACGAGCTTCTCCAGCCGCGTACGCGCCGTGAAGACGAAGTCGTCGTCCACCCACAGCACGTATTTGGTTGTTACCTGGGACACCGCCAGGTTGCGACCTGCGAACCAACCCTGGGAGAGTTGTATTATGGTTGGGGAGTGTGTAGGAGAAGGACAACTGTCTCTCTTCCTCTCTCCCTACCCTCGAAACAGCCCCGTGCCCCTCTTTTAGGCTTTTGAGTGCTTTCGGATGACCGGTAAGCAGGTTAAAACAAACAAACAAAAAAGCCAGCAGGTTCCCACCCTCTTTCTAAAGGTCTTGGATCTTTTGGGGAAGGCTCTTGAAACGCATCTAATTCCTGCATGCATCTGGCAATTCATTCTATTATAGGCATTAAGTCCCATTTCAAGGATGCAGAACGAATAAGACAGGCAAGGTTCCGGATCCCAGGATCCCTTACAATAGGCACGCGCTCGCTTCTGAGGCAGGTGGTCCTTAATCACTCACTACCCAGCAAGCCGCAGCCTGAGGGCACGCCCCCTTCCCAGAGTCCTCTGGTGGCCGCCCGGGTTCAGCTCTGCAGGCAGCGCACCTTGCCGAAGGGCATGAGATAGTGCTCCACATGGGGGTCGCTGATGCGTTCCGGTTTGTCGCTGTCGTCAGCGATGACTATGGTGATCGTGGGATAAAAGCGTCGGATGCTGGCAATGAGTGACCGTAGCCGATCATAACGAAGGAAGGTCTTAGTGGCAATGGTAACCAGGGCACTGATGTTGGACTGGGCTGAAAGCAAGACGCAGGCAGGGTTGGATGCAGAAAGGAAGAAAAAAGGGGGGAGCAACCCCTCCCATGGCCAACCCCTTCTTTACTTCCCTAGTCCCGCGAGCCTCACCTCCCTGGGATAGAGATGAAGGTGGGTACAGCCGTGGGTTGGGAGGATGCCTGACGCGGATGATGAAGGTAGCCTCGTGTCCCTTGGTGGAGAACCGGACTGGGAAAAAAGGACGTGGAATTGGGCCCATTCTCTTTTCAGAGGACTGAAATTTAAACCCCTACTCTGCCTTTCCAGACCTTGGTGGGCAAGAACATATAGTTCTGATGTCTGAGGGACTCACATTTGTTGCTTTGTGGTGGTGGGAACTGAAGTTAGGACCTAACGCATTCTACCACCGAGTTTATATTCCCAAGCCATCTTTTCCTTCCAGAGGAAGACCTTGATCTTCCTGCCTCTGCCCATTGACTGAGATCACAGGCGTCGTTACCTACAAATGTCCCCTAGTGAGACATCATGTAGAATTCTTCGCAATACTGGAGACTGAATCCATGGTCTTGTGTGTACCAGACAAGCACGCTGCCCACCGGACTACATCTCCTGCCCAGAAACTCAAACTTTAGCAGGTGGGCCAAAAACAATGGAACTTTTTTTTCTTTCCTTTTTGGCTTCTTGAGACCGGGTCCTGCTTATGTAGTCCTGGCTGGTTTGGTAGTTGCTGCATAGCCCAGGCTGGCTTCAACCCTGAGGCAATTCTCCTGCCTGCCTCAGATCCCTGAGTGCTGGGATTATAGGTGAGCATTACCGTGTCTAGATAAAAGCTAACTTTTTGTTTGTTTGTTTTGTTTTTGTTTTTTTGAGACAGGGTTTCTCTGTATTACTTTGGAGCCTGTCCTGACACTCTGTAGACCAGGCTGGCCTCAACTCACAGAGATCCATCTGCCTTAGCCTCTGGTGTGCTGGGATTAAAGGCTGCACCATCAATGCTCCGCCAAAAGCTAACTTAAAAAAGTTAATATTTACTAAGCTTCTGGAGTGAGTGTGTGTGTGTGTGTGTGTGTGTGTGTGTGTGTGTGTGTGTGTATGTGTGTGCAGCCTAGGCTAATCTTCCTTTCCACCCTCCTGTCATAGTTTCCCAAGCACTGAGATGACATGAATGGGCCACTATGCTTTGCTGTGTGCATCAGACTTTCCTGTAGATTGGGTGTGGTGGACACACATGTAATCCTGGTACTTGGGAGGTGAAGCTCAAGGACGGGGATTCAAAGTCGGCTGAATAGTGAGTTTGAGGCCAGCCAGAGTTACAGAAATGAGATGACTTCAAAAGCAAAACGAAACAAAACACATTGAAAATGTGTCCTAAATGACTCAGTTGTTTAATCCTCATGTTAATTCCATCAAATAAACTCCTAGTACAGGAAATGAAACTTAGGCATAGAAAAGTAAATGGCCCATACTGTGCAGAGATACAGCTAGGAGGGTATAGTCATTCTGGTTTGAGGCTAAGTAAATAAGAAAAGTCTTGTGTCACAATACTGGCATTAAATTAAAAACCGAGGTGAGAAAATTGCCTTAAGTGGAGAGGAGTGAGTCATTTGAGCACAGATGCAAGCGTCAAGAGGGAGCCAGCCATGGACAAATATTGAGGAAGAACATTCCAGGCAGAGTGGCAGATGCAAAGGCCCTAAGGTAGGAGCAAATATGGCAAAAAAAAAAAAAAAGCTTTGAACAAGAGCAGGGAGAGGAGAGGGAACCTGGTAAGGTAAGTGTTGGGCTAGAAACCTTTGCGGGCAGCAGACTGGACCTTACTGAAAGGCATGGGCAGTGGGGGTGCCTGAGTCTCCGGCTCAGAGAGCAGGTCACTTCCTGGAGCCAGGATGGTGGGATGATGGACAGAAGGGAGAACACACCTGGGGCTCTGGTTTCCCTCTGGCCTGCTTTGGCCCTGGGCAAACAAAGGCTTTTTCTCTCACGCCTGGCACGGCTGACAGCCTACTTGCTACATTCATTGCTTGCCCCGAGTTCTAGCCACTCCCAGACTGCCTCCCCCACCCTCTGCCATTTGCTTTCTTCAGATTTTCTGTCCTGCTGCCACCCCCTGTCCAGACCTCGCACCTGTGTCTGCCGTGTTGCCCTGGTAGCTTCGGCTGCTGTAGGTGACCAGTTGCAGCTGCCGGTTGAGTCTATCCAGACCCGGGCTGGCAAGGGTGAGATCTGGCTGTCCCTCTCCGGTAAGAGTCACTCCTGTCACTTCCCCTGCCACATCCCAGGTGCCCAGGGAAGCACTCAGGTTCACCTGGCAGAGGGTGAGGGACAGCAGGGTTAGACCCCTACCCAGGGACAGCAGCAGGGTTAGACCCCTACCTGACCCCGCAGAGGGTGAGGGACAGCAGCAGGGTTAGACCCCTACCCAGGCACAGCAGCAGGGTTAGACCCCTACCCCACACCTTGCCCTTTTGACCCTTGAATCCCTCTGGGTGGCTCTGTCACCCTGCCGGCATCTGCTGTTCCTCTCACCTGATACACCTCCTGCACAGAAGCTTCCTGCAGACTCAGCCCTGGGAGGAAGAATGGAGAGCCAGGATGAAGACAGCCCTGAGTCTTCCTCATTTTCTCCCCCTTCCCATCATGCACTGCACAGAACCTCATGCCCATCTCTCCTGTGGTGACCCAGTACAACACATCCTGGAGGGAATGCTGCTGCTGCTTCTTCTTCTTCTTTTTTTTTTTCTGAGACAGGGTGGGACAGAAACATCTGGCTGTCCTGGAGCTGGCTCTGTAGACCAGGCTGGCCTCGAACTCACACAGATCCACCTGCCTCTGCCTCTGGAGTGCTGGGATTAAAGGCACATGCTCTCCACGGCACACCTTTGCTTTTAACTCCTTTCCATCAAAGAGACATTTCTTCCACGGCTTCTCCTGCCTATCCTGCTAGCCCTTGTTCAGCTGTCAGAGCCGGGATTCTTCACAAACTTGCCAGGTTTTCTGCCATTCCGGACAACCCTGGAGTCCCTCTGTCCTCCCCTCCCACCTCCTAAATTCCCTCATCAGAGATGCTCATCTTCCAATCCACGCTCCCCTCGCGCTTCCCCATCCAGCCTCTAGCCTGGCTCACCTGCTATGACCTTCCTTCCCTACCTGGCACCAAGATGCTCCTGAGGGGCTGAACCTCCACTCCCTGCAGGGGGTACTGTAAAGGGGAGTTGGCAGGGGCTATGAGCAGCTGGTCAGCCAGGGACTGGCTCCTGCAAGGGAGGGAAGGACACAGGGGTCAGGAGAGCTCTCTCTTCCCATGGGTCACAGACTGGCCCCCCAAGACTTTCTGACCCCCGCTCAGCCGCTTCCACAAGACTTTCTGACTGGTACCTTGCAAGGAAGGCCTGGTATTCCTGCTCCCTGGCGACCAAGACAGCCCTCAGCTCCTCAGTGTCGAAGGCTTTAGTGAGGTCGACAGCTCGAACCTGTGTCTGGAACGGGAAGGGAAAGCTTCCTCCCCTGGACTCACAACTGCAATTGTTCTGAGTCAGTAGCCTGAAGAGAGGAGACAGGGTCTTCAGAGTTCAGCTACCCAGCTTGGATTCCTCGACTCTTCCCATCTGGCGTCTTTCCCCTTAAAATGCTGCTCTTCAAATAGCCCCCAAGAGGGGACCAGAGACAAGACAGCTCATCCCTTGTATCTGGGCTTTACAGAGGTGTGGAGTCAGTTACTGGGGTGTCTGCTTAGCCGCCACTCAGGAACCCTTCTAAGAAGCAGGCAGCCTCCCGGGGCTCTCCTGCCTGCTCACCCTCCCACACCCCAGTGGCGGTGACAAGGTTTTCAGTAGGATAGATTTGCCGCTGCCGCTGCCCGTCTCCCACCGCATTCCCAGTTTTAGCTCCGGTAAACCTCTCCGCCTCCTGCTTCACTGCCTCCACCAGTCAGCGGGAGAGCAGCATCCAAGCCCAGCACTGGAAGAAACAAAAGCTCCCAGGCCACCCCCTCCAGCACGCTCTGCTCTGTCGCCAGCCACCTCGCCACCGTCAGCACTCACCCCACCACTTGATCCTTGATCTTGACCGGGATGTGCGCGTAGCGGGGCTCAGGGGCAAGGTCTGGAAGATCGAGCCTCGGGGAACCTTGTAGGGGTGACCACAGCGCCAGCGGGTTCGGGAGACGGGGTGCGTCTCGGGTGCTGACATACAGGAGCCCCAGCGAGGCGCAGGCGAGCAGCAGGACTAGCGCATAGAGGGCCCGGCGGCCCAGCCGCATCCTGAAATGGGGGGAAGATAAGAGGTGACCGGGGGCTGAAGGAAGGTGACGCTCGGGGCTCACGACTCCTCTGCCTTGGAGGGTAGCGCAGGTGTCCGAGGCCACCCATCTCCGTTCCGCACAGCGCGCATCCCTTCCCTCATGGCCCGCGCTGGGGGCTCGAGGCCTCCTTTCTTCCGCCTCTCAGTCACATCGGAGTTTCCGCACACACCCGAGGCCCCGGCATTGTGACACGCCACACCTTGGGCGCCTGGCCGGGGTGCCGCGGAGGGGGCCTGTCAGGGAAAGCACAGTGCCTGCGGGTGCCCGACCGAGGTGACCCTCGGGTGGCCTCGGTGCGCCCCGGGGACGACGCGCGGGGCGGGGTGTGCCAGCGCACTGACCTGTCTAACGCTCTAAGGCCGCGGCAAGATCGCGGTCCGGGCGACGCCCGGCTCTCGGCCCCGGCCGGGGGGTCCTCATGAGGCCGGAGACGGCCTGATGCGGGAGCTGGGCGGGAGCCTGACAGTGCGGGGGATCCGGCTCCTCCTGCCTGCCTGCGGACTCCGGGGCTTTGTAGAGCGCGGCGTAGGGGGGTGGCTCTGGACGTTTCCCGCCTGGGAGAACTGAATGGAAGATCCGCCGCGCCCCAGGCCCCGCAACAAAGCTGAGGCGCCCTGGCACCGAGACGCCCTCGCAGGCAGCGGAGGGCTCAGGCCCTCGCCCGGCTCGCACACACGCCGCAGCAGCGCCGCTCCCTGGATGGATGCGCCAGAGGCTCCGGCTCTGCGCGGGGAAGGCGGGCGCCGGCGCCTTCTGGCGGGCGCAGAGGAGATTGCTCAGGCGAGCAGCTGAGCTGGTCTCTCTGGCCCGCATCCCTTCGCCCCCCGACCGCCGCGGTGTCTCGGTAGCCGGTCCCTGTCCCCGCCATTTCCCTATTCGCTCAGCGGGTAGCCTAGCAAAGGCAAGTGGGTGCAGGAGGCAGGGCGGTGTGTGGTCTCACCTCAGTTCAGGGAAAACAGGAGAGGGTAGGATGGGATTAAGCCCCGGAGGTAAACACTGCCTAAATTAACAAAGACGGTCACCTCCCTCCGCCCCTCGTCTCCGAATTCCCAGTAGTCAAATGAGGTGGTAAGCTGTTACCGAGTGGCCTACTTCCTCTAACTGCTTCTCGGCACAGACTTGAAAAGGAACCGCAGAAAATGGTCAGGTGGGAAGTGGTTCTTTTAAACAAGCCATAAATGGCTTGATTACTGAAACTGACCAGGCTAAGTCCTATGGTTCACATAAAGGCAAAATTCAACAGAAAGACAGGTAGAACGTGATGAAAAATGTGTATGGAGGGAAAGGTGGAGATTATGAACGAACTTCGTGTGTCCGCTGGGGAAGAAAGGGAAATTCCACCCTTTTTAAAATCAAAATTTCCAGATCAAATATTAAAATTACAAAAATTTTAAAATAAATCAAGGACTTTTTTGTTTACGGTTGGAAGACCTCCTTAAGACATAAAGGGAAATACTAATAAACCTGCCTATATAAAAATACTTTATCAACGTCGGGTGTGAGAGTCAAAGTTATATTTTGAGTTTTAATTACTGTGCCTAAGAGATCCATAAAACAAAAATGCCTCTAGCCTTGCCCAAGGACCGAGATTTCCAAAAATGCCGAAGGCTGTTAATGTAAGATAACAAGACGCTTGTTTTCACTTCCCTAAATAAGTTTGGTTGACCACCCAACTGCACCGGAAATTTTATCACATCGAGGTTGGAGGTGATAGGATGTATCTCAGGATGAACGCTTGCCCTTGATTGGACCAAGGTGGAAGTGTGTAGCCTTGTAGGTTTGCCTTTATAAGAACCTGGCCAATGTCGCTCATGGCAATTTTCTGGAAACCTTGGAATGAACCTAGCTAGGAGCCATCATCCAGGCCAGTATTTAGTTAAAGCTTGCTTCAAATTTGGCTTTAAAATTATGCTAGTGGTCTTCTTGTCTGGTTAGTGGGATTACCCCAGACCCAGTGGTGCATGTTTGTAGTCCTAACACTGTGGAGGCAGAAGATGGAGGATTAACCGGATTTTTGGGGGGTCTGAGCTACATTAGCGAGACCCTGTCAAAAAGAAAAACAAAAACCAACAGCTGGGCCAGGAGAAATGGCTCAGAGGTTAAGAGCCTTTCCTCTTCATCTAAAGGACCCAGGTGTGATTCCCAGCACTCATGTTGGGTGGCTACAGCTGCTCGTTAACTCCAACACCAGGGGATTTGGCGCCCTCTTTTGGCCTCTTTAGGTATTCTGAGACTCATGTGGATACATGCACACACATTCACACACATATACACACACAGGCACACATACATGCACACACACATACACCACTCACACACCATACACTCATGTAGACACACACAGGGCTGAGGATGAAGCTTGGTGATAGCATGTTTGTTCTTTGGAGATTTTTCATATGTTGTTTTCCCTATATGTGAAAATCTCATATAAAGCACACACACATATGTTCTCTATACATATGCATATGTGTGTCTATGTTTATGTGTTAATTTGTTAGGCTGTGGTGGTTTAGGGGAAGGAATACCCCCATCAGCTCAGGTTTTTCACACATGGTCTCCAGGTGATGACCCTATCTGGTAGGTGGTACAGCTTCCCTAGAGGATGCTCCTCATTAGGGGTGAACTTTTTCAGAGTTCATAGCCTGGCCCACTTTCAGTTCATTCTCTCTGCTTCATCTCTGTCAGTTGAGGTATGACTTCTCGTTTCCCTGCTCCTGCTGCCATGCCTCCCCACCACAATGAACTCGTATTTCACAGAAACCACAAGCTCAAATAAGCCCTTTCTTCCTTAAATCGTCTTTAGTCATGATATTTTAACATAGCAACAGAAAAGTAACAAATACACAGTGTAACCCAGATTCAAGGAGTCATTAATGTCACCTTAGGGGCTGGGAAAATAGTTCAGTCAGTAAAAGCATTTGCCACTCACATGCCAGACAGACAGAACTTAAGTGAGGAGTGTTATTAGAAAGGGAAAGGGGGAGCCGGGCGTTGGTGGCACACGCCTTTAATCCCAGCACTCGGGAGGCAGAGGCAGGCGGATCCCTGTAAGTTCGAGGCCAGCCTGGTCTACAGAGCGAGTTCCAGGACAGCCTCCAAAGCCACAGAGAAACCCTGTCTCGAAAAACCAAAATAAATAAATAAATAAATAAATAAAAGGGAAAGGGGGTAAGGAAAGAGAAAAGAGGTAAAGAGACACAGAGACAGAGAGAGGAGGGAGACAGGAAAAGTCCTGTCTGCTCCAGGGGAGCAGCGGGAAAGAGATCCTAAACGGTAGGGGTCTGTCTTTTAATGGGGTCCTTTGCACCTGCATGCAGACTAGTAACCATAGAACCTTGGACTGACCGGGGTACTGCCTAAGGGCATTCTGCCAGGTGACAGGGGCAGGCCCGCATAATGTAGTTAGTAATTAAATATATATTTGAAAATACCTTAGCAATGTCAAACTATATCCTTCCTTGCATTCTGGCTGCATCACTGATGCGTAACTAATATAATCATCTTAAGTTTACTGTAACAAAAATCAGAATTAAGCTAATAAAAGACACCATGGGCCCGATGTCACAGACCTATAATACCAATGAAGCAAGAGGATCAGAAGTTTGGGAGTAGCTTGGGCTGCCCAATGAGTTTAAGGCCAGCCTGGGCAATAGAGTGAGACTCTGCCTTTAAAATAAAAATTACAAAGAGCTACGGATGTAGATCAACGGTAGAGCACTTGCCTAGCATACACAAGGCTCCATCTCCAGAGCCACCCGATAAGGAAACAAACAAATAAAATCTGGGGCTGGAGAGACACCTCAGTGCCTAGACGTGCTTGTGGCTCCCTGGCGTGGTGTTGCATGCCTTCAGTCCAAGAACTCAGGAGGCAGAGGGGTCTCTGTGAGTCCAAACAAATAAAAATCAGTGCTGGTGGCTCTTGGAAAGAATCTGTGTTTGGTTCTCATCACCCATGTGGTATTTCTCACAACCGCTTGTAACTCCAGTTCCAGGGGACTCAATGTTTTCTTTCGCAAGCACGCATACCCACATATGAACGCACAAAGAGACAAATAATACATGCACACACACATACACATAATGACATTATGGATTACAAATAACGCCTAACTAACCAATTGTCACTTTCCTTGCGCCAACAGTTATAAGTGACAAGCATTCAGTCATTCATTTAGTGACAAATAAAAACCCTACCATGAAACCGCTTCTGCCTCACTTTGTAAGTGAGGAAACAGGAATGCTTTAGCTGAGAAAGGGCAAGATTAAGATTAAAACTTGACAGTCTGCCTTAGTGTCCATCCATGTGGCCAGTATATCACACTACCAATGTAGTGGCATCTTGTTCCACCAGCAGACTTGGGGTGGTGACAACACACACTACAGTTGGCTATGAATGCCGTTCAATACAAAATCATAAGCTTAATTAAAACAAGTTTCGAAATTGTTTTTTACTTGTGATTCTATTTCGTGGATCTCAAGTGTGAACTTCATAGAAAACAATGGCAAAAGGTTGGACACAGCTCTCAGAGATGAACCCCCTTGGCCATAAAACATACTCAGTGATATCAAAGACAATAAAATCTACATTTTAAAAATAGATTTGTTCTTTTAACGTATATGAGTACTGTATCTGCATGTACACCTGCAGGCTAGAAGAAGGCACCAGATCTCATTACAGATGGTTGTGAGCCACCATGTGGTTGCTGGGAATTGAATTCAGGACCTCTGGAAGGACAGTCAATGCTCTTAACCACTGAGCCATCTCTCCAGCCCCTAAAATCTACATTTTTAATTTCACTCTAAACATGCTCTTACCTGGGTATAGTGGTGTTTGTATTTCCAGTTACTCAAGAGGGTACGGCAGGGGGACCACTTGAGTCAGAGACAACCTGGGCAAATACATGCTTAAAATACTCTTGAGGGCTGGGCGTTGGTGGCACACACCTTTAATCCCAGCACTCGGGAGGCAGAGGCAGGTGGATCTCTGTGAGTTCGAGGCCAGCCTGGTCTACAGAGCCAATTCTAGGACAGCCTCCAAAACAATACAGAGAAACCCTGTCTCGGAAAAAAAAAAAAACAAAAAAAAATACTCTTGAGGGTGCTGGAAATATGGTTCAGTGGTAATGATTACTGGCTGATCTCCCAGAGGACCCGAGTTTGATTCCCAGCACCCACTTGGCATTCATAACTGTCTAGAACTCCAGTCCCAGGAGCTCCAATGCCCTCTTATGTCCTCCTCAGGTACCAAGCGGTGTATGGTGCACAGTCATACATCTAGGCAAGTCATTCTCACACATAAAACAAAATGAGACAGGGTTTCTCTGTGTATCTGTGGCTGTCCTAGAATTCACTCTGTAGACCAGGCTGGCCTCAAACTCACAGAGATCCTGCCTGCCTCTGCCCCCCAAGTGATGGGGTTAAAGGTGTGCTCCACCAATCCCAGAAGAACAATTAAAAAAAAAGACAGGAGGGTATCTGTATTAAAGAAGATATAAAATTCTTATCAAAAAAGATAGTGGAAGATGTGTTGTGTCCATCAATCCTGGAATGGTTGTATTTCTAGACTTCTCAGTTATTTAAGACTATTGCCGCCTGTGATAGTGAAGCCAGTGATAGTCCCAGCCTATCTGCTCTGAACAACTGACTCGAGTGGTCATCCCCAGAGCTGAATATGTAGTCACTGGAGAGAAGAATTACTGTTTGAACTAAGACACATGTAAGCACAGGCTGGACTCAAGATTATAAAGGCTGGCTTTTTAAGCATTAGACTCCCCTCTGCAGGTGATAAATTGTCATAACCAGGCTTTTAAAAAGGACACTTAATTCTTTTTTTTTACATTAAGTAGTGTGTTTGAGTGTGCTCACCTGTGAGAGTGCCACACACCAATGTGAATTGGACGCCAGCTTAGGGCTTCGAGAAAAACTCTGCCCAAGGTGGGGCCGGCAGAATGACTCAGTGGGTGAAGTCACTGGCTGCCAACCCTGATAACCTGAATTTGATGCCTGGCACCCATGAGGCGGAAGGAGAGAATGAATGGTCTCCTCAAAGTTGCCCTCTGGCCTCCACATGCTTGTCCACACAAAAACACACTGAACATAGACACAATCCCAATGTAAAAGAAGATGAAAATGAAAAAAATTTAACAGATAAATAATTAAGAATTCATAGCCATACCCTGGTAATTCATAAATAATTATAGGAGTAGGGAAAGGGTGGATGCCAGCTGGTAAGTGCGGCCTGGGTAGAGTTATGAGCTTAGCCTTTAACTACCACAGTAAAAACCAATTACAGCAAGATGCATAATATTAATTAAAGGAGAAATTTGATTCAGAGCAGAATATATGCTTTTTTATCATGTATTCATCTTTGTGGCATCGAGGATCAAACTGAGGGTCTCTAGAATGTTAGGCAAGCACTATGTCCACAGCTCCAGAAAGTCCCCTTCTGGAATATTATTATTTTTTGTTTTGTTTTTTGAGA